TATAAGTTAATTTAAATTTGACTTGAAACTTGATTTGAATTTGACTCAACTCAAATAAATTCAAGTCAAAATTGAATTGAGTTAAACTCAAATCAAGTCAAATTGAGTCAAGTTTAAAATTTATATAACTCAAATTAAATCGAGTTAAAAATTTTTATAAAATAAATTTAACTCAACTTAACTTAAAAAAAATAAGTTGAATAGAGTTGATTCTTAAACTCAACTCAACTCGACTCATTCAGAACTCTACTTTATACTTCTAATACAAAGTTTCATATTAGGCTTATTCTCTCCTAATAGTATCACAAAAATAAGGATCTAAGTAAAGAACCATTTCTGATTTTTAGTAAATTTGAAGTTGAAGTAACACCTATAGTTTTACAATATAATATTCCATTTTTGATAACAATCTATCAAACAGAATTACAAGATTCTATTAATCAGCATAAAAGTATTACTAATGTACAATTCTATAGTAAAATTGCTAGTTTAGCTCATAAGATTATTATAAAAACTGTAAAAGAACGAGACCTTAATATAATCAATCTTTTTGAAAGTTACTTAAAAAATGATGAATTAAAAAATGAGTTGGATATAGATGATGATGAAAAAAACAAAGAAAATAACTTTTCTAACATTAGCAATTCTAATAAAAAAAATAGGTCTAAAGGTTGACCTAAAGGTGCAAAAAGAATTAAGGTGAATTATAAAACAAAAGCACTAGCAAAGATAATAAACAGTATAAGTATAATTACTGTGGTAGTATTGGTCATAATAAACTGAATTGTAAAAATAATGCTATATCTGATGTATAATGAATTTAATTGATTAATTATTATTATCTAATAAAGCATTTAAACATTTATATTCAACAAGTACTTATTTACATTTGTATTTGAAAAAAAAAAATTATTAAATTTTGACCGAAAATTTATGATGCAGTAATAATGCAAAATTTCACAGATGCGATAAAAAATAAACTCTATTAATTAATATTTAAAATAATAAAGTGGATAGATTGTAATATATCAATAATAGATAATATTAAGTATTACTATTATTTCCTATATGATCTCTGAAGAGAATCAATACTCTATCAAGCAAAACTCAAAGAAAAATTTCTCAAACACCATTTTTATCTCAATCCATTACTGCTCCACAACTTTGGCATTTGTACATCTCAGATCCTCCTATTTTTTGAATACTCCTACATCAGCTACAAGTTTTTGAAATATATGTCTCATTTGAATAATAATATGAATCTTTAATTCTTCAGCTTATACTACCAGACGTTAGCGAAATTGATAATGAGCCCAAAAGAGCATTTTACGAACAGTTTTTCATATTATATTTCTTGTTTTTTGATTTATTATATTTGATACTTCAAAAGGAGAAATAATAATGGTATCAAATTCATAAGTAAAAAATGTAACACTCTTTTATGGATTTCATTTTGCAGATGTTTGATTTTCGTATTATCTGAGAAATTGCATTATCAAGTTGCAAGGCCTTTTTATTTTTATGTTTTGAATTATAGGAAACCAACTTGTTTCTTATAGAATGAAGATTATTTATATATTGCATAAATGAATAATTTGTCTAATGTCATATTGGCCAATTTTACCTATACCTTTAGTAGGAGAGTATCATGTGAAGGGTATACGAACATTAGGATTAATGGAGACTGCCCTATAAAAAATTTGCATACGTTTTTCATTATTATAAATAAGTTTTGTATACGTTTTTTGAAATTCCATATCACATTTCCTTATATTTTATAAGAAATTTTTTTTTAGCATTTTTTTTATAAAAAATGATGTATAAGAAATTGTTAAT